AATGCACACACAGAATCCAGCACAGAGGCTGTGGGAGGAAGGTGCTAAATCAATGTTAGCTTATTTCTCAGAGGGCTGTTGAAAAGATTAAATGAGATTATAAATACAATTGAGTTTACATAGTAAGCAGTTACTGCTCAACTCTTCCTGTTCCAGTGTTGTCTTTACTATGGTGAATATTTGGCAGTTAATGTCTTTATCTGGTCAGCGCAATCACTCAAACTGGGTAATTCAAGCAAGTCTCTACTTGGGCCTTGTGATGATCTTGTTGTTCTTGATTAAAATAACCCAAGAGATGGTCCTTTACATCGGAGCCATTGAAAGGCAATTTTCCAATACCAACCAGCAGCCTTTAAAATGTTACAGCCTATCCATTGATCCAAAACTCAGAGGAATTTGCCCTTAGGAAAGAATCAGAATCGTAAAAAAGGATTTATGATAAGATGTTCAGTCACTTGCAATGCAGGATGATAATTAAAATGGAAACAATATGTGACAATAGTAGAACATTGAATAAAGAATCCGTCTTTGAGGGGACAATACGTAACTGCTAAAGTCAAACTTAGAGAAGATTCCATGACACATGAGGAAATTGCATTGGAATATTAACCTTAAAAAACTAGGAAAACAGGGCCAGCAGCTAACATGGTGGTTAAGGATGCTGGACTCCCACACGGCCAACCACAGTTCAAGTCCTAGACCTGGCAGCTTGATTTTTCATTTTCTCTCTCTCTCTCTCACTCTGTCCCTCCATGGTCAAATTAAAATAAATAAAGTTAAATAAAATAAAAGAAATCTTTTTTAAAATATTAGGATAGCAATCTGTACATACAATGAACTCACTTTTGCAAAGTATGAAAATATCAGATAAATTAATGAAGCACCTAGATCCTACTTACCTACCAAGTGCATAAGAAAAAAAACTGCACAACATATTGAATAAATATACCCCATTATGCTGCCCTTAGCAAGATTGCCAATTCCGATCAATTAGCTTCACATAGATATCTCAGTATAGATGAAGTATACATTTGTGTTGATGAGAAACAAAAACAAGAAAGAGAAACATCTATGTTAATGATGCTATCTCTGGTTAGTAGACTTAAGGAGATTTCTCCCATCTTGTGTGCTTTTACTTTCTAAATTTCTTTCTTTATGTTTTTTTTAAAGGTATTTGCTATAGGGTGCATGCGCTTACCAGACAGACAGAGAGAGACAGAGAGATAGAAAGCGAGAAATCACCCCCCAGGGGGGATGGCCACGCCACAATCCAGACAGACAGAGAGAGACATAGAGATAGAAAGCGAGAAATCACCCCCCAGGGGGGATGGTCACGCCGCAATCCCTTCTCCTTTGTTCTCCTCTTGGGATCTTGGGCATGCACGCACACGCGCCTGGCGTGAGTTTTAAGCCACCGGGTCCCGGATGCGAACCACAGTCGACTACGTGGGAGTCCAGTGACATAGCCATTATGCTAACTGCTGGTCCCGAAATTTCTTCAATGCACATATTTTATAATTAGGAAAACAGGTTTCTATTAACACTGAAGGGAAATCATCAAGTTCCTATTTTCTGTTGACATCTTAGCAATTTTCCCAACACAATCCTCTCCAGATATCTTTCTTTTTTTAATATATACACTTTTTTATAATATTTCATTTCACTTTACTTATTCATTTATTTATTTAAATTTAACCAGAAAGGGACAGAGCGAGAGGGAGAAAGAGAGAAAGCAAGCCACCTGATCCCAACTAATTGTATGTTTCTTGGTAGAGGTCCATAAAGTCCCCCTAGAAGCAAGATGCCAGAGATAAATCACCATTAACAGAATGGAGAGTAGCAAAAAGCACCCTACTAAACCCAGACTCCTTCTAACTCTTCTGAGATATCTGGGAGTGCTGAGTGGGGTGGGGGTGGGGGTGGGTGAAGATAGGGACACTAACAACAAGGAGAGAATTAGGCAAGGAGCACACTCCAGGAAAAGGGGAATGGGGAGAGAGGTCAGAGTTCTTATGAGAGTAGAAATAATAAACACAATCACATTGATACAGAGAGCCTGAAAAATAATAAACATATCTGAGGTGCCAACAGCGTGCTTGCTGTTTTGGCAGCATTGAGATGTTTCTATCAAACTGCAATCTGCATCCCATCTAAACTGTAAAAATGGTGAGTAGCCATGGTGATCGGCCTGGGATGGAGACAGGTGCAAGGCCATGGGTCGTTCTCCGTGCTAAAGAGTGGTGGGTAAAGACTGCTGTCCTGTTTGTCTTCAGTTGTGCTCTAACTCAGGGCACAGGACTGTGTAGACCTTAAGACCCGAGTGAAGAGAATGGAAAATCTTAAGAAAAAGATGACACAATGGGGTAGTTTTTGAGATGTTGAGCAATTCATAGTGTATCTAGCAGCTGGCAGAGTCAGCCTGAGAACTTCATGCATCTCATGCTCATTGGAATCCTCCCATTCCAGTGGGAGCAGTACTTGGGATCATCTGTGAAGGGGGGAAGCTAGACATCCTGTTGGGGCTCTGAAAAGAGGTAGTGTTTTCCACCGAGTGGAAGACTGGTTGGCCTATTCCCTTGGTGAATGAGGGGTTCTATAACCACGACAGACCCCAGGCCTTGTAGTGTTGAATCGTACCTTAGAACCAGGACAGTAAGAAGGTGGGAGCTAACATAGCAATTGAATGAGGAGAAAAAGAGGTCTTTGAGAGTGTGGGAGGAGATTGTTGGAGATGAGAATAAAAGGGAAGCGGGATGGAGCAAGACTGTAGAGGGAAGGAGAACGCAGGTGAGTACTCAAAGAGGGAACTCAGAGCCTTTTCACATTCTCATTGAAAACCGAATACTTGCTCAATGCATTTTGCCACAGGAATATGCTCACGAATCCAGGCAGACAGAACTGAAAGTACCAGATAAATCAATGCAGAGACTGGCTCCTGCCAAATACAAGAAGAAAAAATAGTGAGAAATATAAAATAAACTTACATTGTCCTTTTAAGTGTCTGTTGGCTCAGATTCAGTTAGAATCATGTACTCAACATGAAATAGGTATTTTTACTGATGAGAAACAAAACAACAGAAAACATAACCACGGCCCAGAAAGGTTAAGCGGCTTTCTCAAAGCTGCAGAGTAGCTTTCTGATTCCCAGTGCATTTATCCTGCCACACAAAGGGGGCAGCACTTCCATTCACCCCACTCTTGACCTGTCTGGCTGACTCCCAGGAGATTGTCCTTATCGGCTTGGCACAAACTCACTGTAAGTAAATGGCTAAACCTTCATGGATCTTGGTTTCCCCAGCTGCAGTGCGAAAGGTTTCAAAACTAAAGAAGGCCAAACTTGCCACCCACTCTGCATTTGTTAAACACTTGGAAGAGTGGTTTTTAACATGTGGCTCCGGACAGAGCCATCAACATCAATCACCCAGAACTTATGAGAAAGGCAGATTCACAGGCCCGCCCTGACCTGCTCAGTCAGAACCTCTGGAGGTGGAGCCCAGCAACCTGAGTTTTCACAAGTCTTCCAGATGTTCTGCTTCTAGCTCAAGTTTGAGAACCACTGCCTGAATGTTTTCTGCCCAACATGGACACGTGTGCGAGCACACACACTCACAGAGGTAACTAATTTTCCTTTGTGGACACCAACACCCCCGCCCCCACTTCCTGGCCACAACCCCCACCACCACCACCACCACCCCGGTCTCCCTCCCCTTTTCCTCGGCTGCATCGTCAGGATGAATGGAGGTCAGGGCGCTGTCAATGGAGGATGCTGCAAATCCTCTCCAACCAGACAGGGTTAGGGGAGACAGCGCTGGAGTTTCCCGGAGACTGGTTTCCTTACCGTTTTCTAGACAGCCATTGCCCTACTCTTTGGGGCGCGGAGGGAGGAGCATTGAATAACAGTACGTTTGCTTTTAACGGTTTATGCGATACTCTGCGGAATGAAGAAGAAGATTGAAAGGTGGGTGTTAGAAAAAGGCTTGGAGAGAAGATGGGGGCAAGAGGAGGGAAGGGTAGGGTATGGGGGAGCAAGAGTGGAGGGAGGCTAAACAGAGAGTGAGGTTTGGGGGGGGTCCCTGGGGATGAGAGAAAGGAAGAAGACAGTGCTTTTAGTATGGGGAGAAAGAGAAGCTGGAGGAGGGCGCGGGCCTAAGGCACAGGACAAGAAAGTGGGTGTTGGGGGAAAAAGTGCCCTAGAGTTTGGAGCTCTGTGTGTGTGTGTGTGTGTGTGTGTGTGTGTGTGTGTGTTTCCAGCTTCCTTTCCAAGACTTTTTCTTTGCTCCACTTTGCTCCTCCCTCTCCTCCCGCCTCCTCTGCTTCCCCGCCTCCCCCTGGCGCGGTAATGGGAGGCTCCTAGGCAGGAGAAGCAAAAGAAGGAATTGTTTGCGAGTTCAGTCATCCAAAAAAGCTTCTTCCATATGGAGGGACCTGGTGCGCTGGGCGCGGCGTCCCCAGCCTGGTCCTGCTGCTGCTGCCGCCGCCGCCGCCGCGGGCCCCCGTTCCTGCCCCCCGGCACCCGGCACCACGCC